CCCACACACGCTGCCCCATCTCCCTTGCACGCTCGTTCCCACACTCTCCCTCACCCTCTCACTCCTCCATCCACCCCTTCTTGTCTTTCCACAACCACAGCAATCCATGCAAAGCCTAGTTCCAGTCAGCCTTTTGAGGCTCTTAAGTTCACAAACCCTAATTCCACTCAACCCATTTTCAGAAATCCCTCCAACTCCACGAACCGTCCATTTAACCATCCGTCCATCCATTCATCTAACCATCCATCCAACCCTCCATCCAACCGTCCATTCAAACCCTTCATCCAACCCTCATCCAACCAGCCTTTGAAAGAACCCCTTTCGCACGCTCCCCCTGATCACCGTATATCCCTCAGCCCGTTACATCCTCGTGACAGTAAAGAAGGTGGCAGGCTTGGTGATGACAGGCTCGGGATGGACAGGCTCGGCACGGACAGGCTTGGCATGGAAAGGCTTGGCAGGGGCAGGCTCGGCCAGGAGAGGCAGCACAATGAGAGTGAGGAGCCGAGGCTCGAGGGTAACCCATCAGCCCATTGTGGCTCTACTTCCTCTTGTGTGTCGGCTGCTATTGGTGCACAGCGGTATGATGTCCCCATGACTGCTGCACGCCCACGTGATATTCCCATGGGTACACACCCACGTGTACCCCCATGGGTACACACCCACGTGGTCGTGGTTCCCCCATGGCCATGGGTGCAGCTGCACATGTAAGGGGTGGGCATGGTAATAGTGATGAAACCAGAGGTGATACAACCGAGTGTGGGAGAAACGAGGGAGACTTGAAGGCTTGTGATACAAGAGGGGCCCGCGGTTGATGCTGAGGAGGATGTGACTGCAGACCAAGTGCCTCTGCCCAACCATCCAGGTGAGATAGCTTGCCATTTTCGTTATAAGCACATGCCAGTCTCGGTCTATTCTCCTGTGGTTTCACTTGAAGCAGACACGGACTCAGGGCCAATGTATCTGTAAAATCAGTCTTGGCAATAGTAAGCTTGCTGCTCGGTCATTGCAGGGAGTTTTTGAGAATTCTCAAAGGCTGCAAAGTGAGCTTGCAAATTCTTGGCAATAGGTGAGCTTGCAAATTCTTGGCAATAGTGAGATTGCTGCTTGGTCGTTCTCCCCCAGGCTGGCTCACGCCCAAGAGGCACAAGACTCTCAAGGAGGAGTTGCTTAAGCTCAAGCAGCCGATGGAGCGAGGAGTATGAGGTGGGGAGGGCGCCTTCCGTGCCTCCATGCCTCCAGTCTGTGTTATTTGCTGCTACGTGCTGTTCTTTCTCCCCCTCTCAGGCTGGCTCACCACGAAGAGGCGCAAGAGCTGCAAGGAGGAGCTGATGGAGCTAGAACTGGCAATGGAGCGAGAGGAGTATGAGGCGGGGAAGGATGTTGCTTACTTGACTCCATGCTTCCCTCCATGCCATGTCTTTGTGCCTTTCTGGATGTCATTCTTTCAGGCTGGCTCACCACCAAGAGGCGCAAGACCCTCAAGGAGGAGTTGATAGAGGTTGAGCTGGCAATGGAGCGAGAGTATGAGGCGGGGAAGAGGCAGCAAAAGGGAGCGGGGGGAGAGAGGGAAGAGGGCAACGCACACAATAAGATGAAGAGGGAAAGAAACTGGGAGTCAGGGAGTGAAGGAGGGAGGGCAAGTGTGGAAGTACAAGAAAGGGGGAGAGAGAGGAGGGATGAGGGACGGAGGGGCAGGGGTTGAGGGGGAGGTGATAGATGAAGAGGAGGAGGTGGAGGAGAGGGAGTGGAGGGAGAGGGGAGAGAGGGGAGAGTTGCGGCAGTCTGGTGGTGATACTGTGGGGGACATGGAGAGGAGATGGAGAGGGAAAGGGAGAGGGAGAGAAGGGAGAGAGAGAGGGAGAGGGAGACAGAACGAGAGCGTGAGCAGGAGAGGGAATGGGCAAGGGAGGTGGAGAGGGAGAGGCAAAGGGAATGGCAAACCCAGTGGCGGCAGCAACAGGAGCAGGAGGAACAGGAGGAGCAGCAGAGGCCGGCAGCGTCGGCGGCACTTGCGGCGGGGAGGGAGAGCTGAGGCGTTTGGGCTTGAAGAGGACGATTTCATTGACCAGGTGTGTTGTCAGGTTGGGATAAGTTCTGAGAGTTCTCAAAAGAAATCACGGCAGGGATGGGGAGTTGAGGCGTTTGGGCTTGACCAGGTGCTGTTGAATTGCTGCACCCTTCCTAACCCCATCAGTTCGTATTTTCATCCACTGCTGCGTCACTTCTCCCTCATACCCTCCTTTCCCCCCACACCCCCCCCCTCCCCTCCCCTTCCCCCTGTGCTCCCCCACCCCAAACTCCCCAACACCCCCTCCCCCCCCCCCCCTTCCCCTGTGCTCCCCCTCTCTGCCCCTCGCTCCCTCTCTCCCTCTCTCTCCCTCTCCCGTTCCACCTCCTCCATTCCTTGTTACCGTACCCTCCTTCCTATGTGCAACTTTTCGAAAGCATGCTCCTCTTAAACACATTGCGCTTATCACTTTTTTGTTCTTGTGGACAGATGGTCCCAGAGGATTGATCACCTGACAATGGTCACACGATAAGAAACAATAAGTACCGGTAATGAATCGGGGTCATCTGGTTGTCCTAGATGCGAATGAAAATCTGTTTTGCCTGCTGCTGCGTTTCGGTGACTTGAAATTCGATTATTTTTTTAATGTGGTGGTGCTTGTTCAACACATCTCAAAGACAAGTGTGGTGAATTGTAGAGAAAGTAGATTTCACAAAGTACTTTTATCTCGCTGCAGTAAGCCAGTCTCAACAGTTTGAAGCAACCGTACGCGTTAACGAGGCAACTACTACCCTTCCAAACCTTGAGGCTGCCGTAGTTTTGAAGCAACACCACACCACTCAAGCTAATCATTAGTACGTTGGTGGTAAGGCCGACCACGCGCGTCGCGATAGCACGTGCAAGCACACTTGAAGGCTGGCAGCTAATGAAAGCTTAATTGCGGATATCCGATCGCCGTTACGCACGCCGTCCCAGTTTTCGGTCTCCTGACGGAGTTCGTTAAACGCTAAGAGAGCTGTCGTTAGTTCGCTTCTTTCCCCACGCGATCGTTATCGCAGTTCCATCGTCGCGCGACTGCTCAACCATCGCGAGGCTGCTAAGCCGTCGCAGTGCTTTATAGAAAACGTCGCGAGGCTCTTAACCGCAGCTGCCGCATCGATCGCAACCTTAGTTTCAGTCGCTTCGAAAAGGGATCGAAGCTACAGCAGCCGCAGCTGTTTCGTAGAAAAAACCCTTCAGACTGCATCCGCCTGGCGCGAGGTTGCCTGGGTGACTTCTGGGTCGACTCGGTTCGCTGTACCCGCACTGCATTTCCCGGCCGCGAGAGCTAGATCGCGAGAGTGTGACTAGAGTGTGACGAGAGTGTTACGAGAGTGTGACGCCGTAAAAGAACACGTGGCGAGGGTGACGTGGCGAGCACGAGGTCGCGATGGTGTGGTGCAGCTACTGCGGGCGCGACCAGCAGGCGGAGGTCGACGAGGCCAATGGCTTCTCGTACGTTCCTTCATTCTTGCGCTCTCCACTCTGCCCATTTGCGTGTATCTCTCCTCGCCTTTCTGCCAGTCTCTGTTGAATGTTGAGTCGACTTAAAGCGCGACCAGCAGGCGGAGGTCGACGAGGCCAATGGCTTCTCGTACGTTCCTTCCTTCCTGCGCATCTATTGAGGCGCTTCAAGGTTCAAACAATCTGATCCTTCTTCCTGCGAATTTTTAGTTTGTTGGTTCACAATTCGCGTCCACGCGCTCCCACCTTAACCAACCCACGGCTCATGTGCTCCCTTCTCCGCCTGCTTGTGTGCCCGCCCTTCTGTCGGACTTGCTGCCTGTCTTTCTCCCCACTACCACAGCTGCTGCACGGGGTGTGGGCGAGTGCTGGACGATACCGTCTACTCGTCCGACACAGTCTTCATGAAACAATCCGATGGCTCTGTAAGCTGAGCGAGAAACGCAATAACGAGTACAGGTCATGATTATGAGACGGAATGATTCAGTGTCTCGCGCCTTCTCCCTGGTCTTTCATTCCCCAACCCACCAATCTGCTTTTAAAGCAATCTTCCTCACTTATTCATCTATTGCCCTGTGTTTTTCGCCCCTTCTATTTCCCTCTGTTTCAGAGCATGGCCATGGGAAGCTTCGTGGCAGATGCAGGAGGAGGCGGGCCGGTGGTGCGACTGGGAGGAGCCAGGGGGTTCGCCTTTGGGGGCTCGTCAGAGTCACATGAGCGCACAGTCATGAGAGGTGGGTGTGATGCAAACGGATGTTGTTTCAACCTCCCACTCCTCTTCCTTCACCCCTTCACTCACCTCCTCCACTGCTATCCCATTCCTCTCTACCCCTTGCTGCTGCCACTTGCTTGAGCAGAACAGAGCTTACCCCGCCAACCCAATCCCCTGACTCCCCAACCAATCACGTTCTCTCTAACCCCCCTTGCAGGGCGCAATGAGATTGCAGAGATAGCAGAGCGGCTGGCCGTGCGACCTCGAGAAGACATGATAGGGTCGGCGCACCGGCTGTACCAGGTACTGAACCCGAAATTATTGTAAACCCTCGTAAGCCCTCATAAACCCTCATTAGCCTCATAAGCTCTCGTAAAACCTCATTAGCCTCATAAGCTCTCGTAAACTCTCATTAGCCTCGTAAGCTCTCGTAAACCCTCATTAGCCCTCATAAACCCTCTGAAACATTGAGCCCTGAAACAGCTTGTGCAGAAAATCAGCAGGCATGGGAGCATGCATGTCCAGTGCACCACACCACCACACATGCCACACACACATATATATGCACGCGCGCTCCAATGCACATGTCCACATGCATACACTTAGACGTCCTCCCCATTCCCCGTCTACTTCTGCTCCGCTTTTCCTAATCCTTAAACCCCCCTTTGACTGCCCCCAGCTGGCTCTGAATCGCAACTTCACAAGAGGAAGGCGAGTAGCGCAGGTGGCAGCGGCGTGCCTCTACCTTGCGTGCAGGTGAGCTCGCGTGCCTGAACAGGTGCCTGAACAAGGTGAAATATATATTTCTTGGTTTGACTGGTGCAGGTGGCAGCTGCATGCCTCTACCTTGCCAGCCGGTGGGCTTGCATCTGATGCTGCTGCAGTTTTTTCTTGAGTTGATTCGAGTCTGGGTTTATTCTCCTCGATGGCGATCACTTTGAGATTCCTAATTGTTACCCTGTTTTAGGCGCCTGCAGTGATCTATTGACGCTCCTCAAGAATCACCTTTTGAGATGCCTCAGTTCCGTTGTATCATGTCATGCAACAAGTTAACGTCAAAGCCCAAATCTCTTGCCACATTTTCATCGACTACAATTCTCGAGTCGATCCACACATTTCTAGTCTACTAAATAATTGTCTTGTTCTGTGCTATGCCACTTATCCACTTATACTCGCTGGCAGGCAGGAGAAGAAGCCCTTTCTGCTGATCGACTTTGCTGACTTGCTGCAGATCAACGTGTAAGTGTGCCTCTCTCTCCACCCTCTCATCACCCTCTCACCACCCTCTCACCACCTTCTCATATCCTAGTTTTTAGACCAGTGCGTCTCAAGCCTCTTCACGTCACCCCCTGAACGACCCCTAATGTTTTCCCTCCCCTCTCTCTCATTTCACTCTCTCAGGTATGTACTAGGGGCGGTGTATCTGCAGCTGCTGCTGGTGCTGCGACTGGAGAACCACGAGCCGCTACAGGCACCACTGGACCCCTCTCTCTTCATCCACCGATTCGCCGACCGTAAGCGTTTCTCTCCTCTTTCGCTGGTTTCACTTCTCCATCTATGTACTGGGGTGGGGCACTGTTGGTGCTGCGACTGGAGAACCACGAGCCGTTACAAGCACCTTTGGAACCTTCCCTCTTCATCCACCAATTCGCCGACCGTAAGTGTGCTCCTGAGTCGCACCAAGAGTCATCCCGCTACCCGCACCACTGATTCAATCCCTCTTCATCCACCAATCCGCCGACCTTAAGTGTGCGTCTGAGTTGACTCAAAAGCAGGAAACCCCTGCGGACAGGCACCACTGGACCCTTCCCTCTTCATCCACCGGTTCACTGACCGTAAGTGTGGTCTGTTGTAGCGTAGCGGCAATTCCTGTACCACTAATCACGCACCCTCATCCGATGACTGGTACCAGTCAGCACCCTCACACAAGCATCTGGTATTTGCACTCCACATTAGCACCGCCAACCTCATGACACTGTATGCAGAGATATTGGAATGTCGTGTTTCTTATGCTTTCCAGTGGTATTGTACTGCCCCAATGATCTTATGTAAGTTTATTGATGCAGTCAGTTTTGTTTCTAATGTGGTGCCCCAGCAGTCTGGGGTTCGATTCCCGCTGAGGTCTAATTTGCACTCTACCAGATGTCACCAACTCCCAGTATGGGAGTGTGCATTTGTATGGTCCGCAATGGTCTGATCCAAGTGATCCTCTTCCTGTTCTACAATCAACATTTTCAGTTTGTTGTATTGTGCGGTGTGGCATGGCATGGGCATGGGTATTGCATGGGCATGGGTATGAGCATGGGTATTGCATGTGCATGGGATGCGCACCGGGTATGGGCATTCTTTTGCACAATACCAGGCCTCAACTTTGGGCGCAAGATGCATGCAGTGGCCAACACGGCTCTGCGCCTTGTTGCCTCCATGAAGCGCGATTGGATCCAGGTGAGGGGGGGGTGAAGGGGTTGGGAGGGGAGGGGAGGGGAGGGAAGGGGTAGGGCGGAAAGGGAAAGGGGTGCATGGTACTGTTCTGTGGAAGCTCAAGAGGCATGCAGTGGCCAGCACGGCTCTGCGCCTCGTTGCCTCCATGAAGCGCGACTGGATCCAGGTGAGGGGAGGGGGGAGAAGGGGGTGAATGTAGGGAACGTGAGGTTTTTTTTTTTTTTTCCATGCCATCATACTTTTCTAAATAACGAATTAGGTACAAGCGAGTCGTGGAGCTCAATTCTACAATTTCTGGATATCATCCCTCTTCTCTCTCCATCACCCCAGCATTCCTATTGAGGATTGAACCCTGGACCTCCGCTATGACATTAGAAGAGCTAACCAACTAGAACATGATGAGTGTCTGCTAAAATCGATGCAATACCTTGAGAACTCTGCTTCACAACACACCATTCGCCCACCCATTTTCCCGCATCTCTACTCTACGGCCTTCCCTCCCGACCTCCCTTCTAGACGAGTTGCAAGCCCAGCGGGGTGTGTGGGGCGGGGGAACACAGTTCACGGTCACCCCCTCTTTCTTTCCACTACACACACGTCTACATCCCTTCCGTCTCTCTCCCCACCTCCCATGATCCCCTTCAGACCGGTCGCAAGCCCAATGGGGTGTGTGGGGCGGCGCTGCTGATAGCTGCACACATTCACGGCTTTGAGCGATCCAAGTCGGATGTGGTGGGTTTGGGGACGGATGGTGTGCGGATGGGTGGGTGTGTGGAGAGATGTGTGGGTGGATGGGTGGTGATTGCTGGGCGGTTGAGGGGTGTTGTAGTTGCGTTGCCTTCTGATAGCGGCACACATACACGGCTTTGAGCGATCCAAGTCGGAGAGGTGGTTGGGGTGGGGGAGTGGTTGGATAGATGTGTGGCTGGTTGGGAGTGAGTAATGCGGCCGAGTCGAAGTTTTGATGGGGCAATTATGGGTGGATTGAAGAAAGCAAGGTTGTTTTGCACTCTGGGTGCAAGGTACAGGTACTTATGTGCTGGCTAGCTCTAAAAGTGTGTGAGTGTGAGTGTGAGTGTGTGTGTGTGTGTGTGTATAGGTGTGTGTGTGTGTGTGTGAGTGTGTGTGTGTCTGTGTGTGTGAGTGTGTGTGTGTGTGTGAGCGTGTGTGTGAGCGTGTGTGTTTGCTGCATTTGTGTGTGTGTGTGTGTGTGTGTGAGTGTGTGTGTCTGTGTGTGTGAGTGTGTGTGTGTGTGTGAGCGTGTGTATGAGCGTGTTTGTGTGTGTGTGTGTGTGTGTGTGTGTGTGTGCGCTGCGCGCGTGTGTGTGTGTGTGTGATTCTACCTGTTGTGGCTTTACAACTTGCAGTGGGGTGTGCGTATGTAAGTTGTGACTTTACATGGTGGGGTAGGTGGCAGTGGCGCATGTGTGTGAACAGACTGTGCGTCACCACCTGACTTGCACTGCACTGCACTGCACTCTCCCCTACTCTCCCTCGTTCTCTCTTGTGTCTCCCTCCCTCCCTCACGCTGCGTGCAGGTGGCAGTGGTGCATGTGTGTGAGCAGACAGTGCGGCACCGACTGCATGAGTTTGAGGGCACAGAGGCAGGCGGGCTCACTGTAAGTCGGTGACGCACTGCCCCCCTCTCCTCTCCCATTTTTTGTTCGCAAGAGTTTGCGGGCACCGAGGCAGGCGGGCTCACTGTAAGTTCCTCCTCTTACGCTCTCTTACGCCCCATGTTTCTTTGAAGGCTGCTTATTGATCACTCCCTATTCTCCAACCTCCCTGCTTCCCCCCCATCCTTTTGTTTTTGGTCTCAGTCACCCTTTTCCACGCACCATGCCAATTTCTCCCTCCTCACTCCATCCTCTACCAAACCCCCCTGAATTCCAACTCTTGTACCCACGCGAGATTCAGACATGATGCTGCAGGGTGTTTTTGAGAATTCTCAAAAACATCAAACCCCTTGAACCCCAACTCTTGTACCCAGCCGGTTGATCGAAGTGGGACAAGCTTCTCTTTTCCACCCAGCCGCCTACCAACACGCTCCATGTGATATGCTCCCTCCTCTCTCCCCACCCCTTCTGACCCCTCCAACTTCCTTCCGTCACCTCCCTTTCCCTAGCCTGAGGAATTCGAGGAGAAGGCCAAGGAGTGGGACGAGCTGCTCTTTTCCACCCAGCCGCCCACTCACCCACACGCATGCGCCATGCCATTTGCTTCCTCAATCCTCCCCTTTCTCCCCCCCGACCCCCTCCAAACTCCTTTCAGCCGGAGGAATTCGAAGAGAAGGCCAAGGAGTGGGACGAGCTTCTTTTCTCCACCCAGCCACCCACCCCTGCTCTCGTTGCTCCTGCCTCTTCCCTCGCCCCTGCTGCTGCTGCCCTCGCTACCAAGGGCAAACAGGGGAAGGGGAAAGCAGGGGGAGCAGCAGGGGGAGGGGCGAGGGGAGGCGCAGGGGTTATGGGGATCCGGGTGGTGGGGAAGATGGGGAGGGGGAGGCGGGGGAGGGGGGAGCGGGGGAGGTGGAGCAGGGGGAAGAGGAGGGGGGAGTGGTGGCGAATGGGGGTGGGGGCGGGGGTGGGGGGAAGTGGGGGAGGTGTATTTGACTCAGTGCCAGCATAAGGATGCTGGGGCGGCTCATTTTGCACATGGGCTCTGCAGGCCGTGCTATGACATGGTACGGAGCGGTGTAGTGTGGTACCAGTACGGTATGGTATGGTATGGTATGGTATGGTATGGTATGGTATGGTATGGTATGGTACGGTATGGTTTGGTATGGTGTACTGCTACTGATGATACAGTGCCAGCATGACGAGGCTGGGGCGGCTCATTCCTCCCATGGGCTCTGCAGGCCGTGCTATGACATGGTTCGTGCTGTGGCATGAATGTGCTGCGTGTGAGCTGTGCTCTGATATGCACCCCTACCACGCATCATGCCGTGAGGTGTGATTTGAGGCGCCTCAAAATATGTGCTGTGGCATGAATATGCTGCGTGTGAGCTGTTCTCTGATATGTACCCACCACGCGGGTAACTTTTGAGTCGACTCAAAAGCCACCTTGCTGCGGCATGACTGTGTTGCGTGTGGGCTGTGTGAAGTGAGGGTGTTTTTGAGACGTCTCAAAAACACCCTCACTTGCTGTGGCATGACTGTGTTGCGTGTGAGCTGTGCTCCGATATGTACCCCTACCACGCATCATGCCGTGAGGTGTGATTTGAGGCGCCTCAAAATATGTGCTGTGGCACGAATATGCTGCGTGTGAGCTGTTCTCTGATATGTATCCACCACGCATCATGCCATCACATCACATCCCATCCTCCCATCCTCCCTTTCCCCTTTCCCCCAGCTGGCTGCGGACGAGCGGAGGTTTGGTAGGGGGAGCCAACCCGCCTGCATGGGGGCGGGGGGAGAGGGAGCAGCGCAAAGCAGAGCTGAGGAGGCGGAGAAGCCGCCTCACTGTGTACAGCGTGTTTGGGCAGGAGGAGCGGGAGGAGGGGGATGGATATGGAGAAGGGGAGGAGTGGGGAGTTGGAAGGGAAGTTATGGCTGTTGGCCAGAAGGGGAAGGGTGGAGGTGCGGGTGTGGCGGTGGCGGCAGGGAAAGGGGTGGTTGCTGCGAAAGCGGGAGGGAAGGGAGGGAAAGTGGGGAGGGATGGGGTGTCGAAGCGCGAGAGAGCAAGGCAGAGGATTGAGAAGGTGAGCGCATTTCATCTCTCCAGAGTTCCCTGAACGTAGCTACTTGTTTCAGGATCGCCAAGTGATAAAAGTAGCGTTTTGAGACGTCTCAAAATTCATCACTCCAGAGTTTCCTGCATGTAGCTACTTGTTTCAGGAAGGATCTACGCACGATATTTTTATGTGTTCAATGAATGTTCCTGAAGTCAAGTGGAGAGCTAATCTCATCGTACCACGCTCCATTCCTTTTCATCCCTCTCCACCCCTCCACAACCCTCTCCATCCCACTTGACCGACAGGATCTAGATGCAGCTCTGCACCGAGCTGAAATTGCTCCCCTCGTGGTCCACACGCTTCCAGACTCACTGGGACCTGCCGAACCAGATACCCTAGGCTCGGTCAGGCGTGACGGTCTAGGTCCGGCAGGCATAGATCCGAGCCTGGTGGATGACCCCGATCCAGATTTCTTGGCTGGGGAAGAGGGTGGGATGGGCGGCGGAGGGAGGTTCGGGGGAAGCGTTGGAGAGATTGGGGAGGAGGCGCAGGAGGGGGTGGAAGATGAGGAGGAGGAAGAGGAGGAAGAAGAGGAAGAGGAGGAAGATACTTTGTCGGATATAGAGGATCACGAGGTAACGTTTCATTGGTCACTTCACCAGAAGCCAGTTGCAGTAGCGAAGCAAGCGGTGGTGAGGTGGATCATCCAGTGGAGGAGAAGCATTTCTTTGGCGCCTCAAAACCGTGTGAACTGAGACGTTTTTTGACGCGCCTCAAAACCGTGTGAACTGCGACGATTTTTTAGGCGCCTCAAAACCGTGTGAACTGAGACGATTTTTGAGGCGCCTCAAAACCGTGTGAACTGAGACGATTTTTGAGGCGCCTCAAAACCGTGTGAACTGAGACGATTTTTGAGGCGCCTCAAAACCGTGTGAACTGAGACGATTTTTGAGGCGCCTCAAAACCGTGTGAACTGAGACGATTTTTGAGGCGCCTCAAAACCGCGTGAACTGAGACGATTTTTGAGGCGCCTCAAAACCGCGTGAACTGAGACGATTTTTGAGGCGCCTCAAAACCGCGTGAACTGAGACGATTTTTGAGGCGCCTCAAAACCGCGTGAACTGAGACGATTTTTGAGGCGCCTCAAAACCGCATGAACTGAGACGATTTTTTGAGGCGCCTCAAAACCGCGTGAACTGAGACGATTTTTGAGGCGCCTCAAAACCGCGTGAACTGAGACGATTTTTGAGGCGCCTCAAAACCGTGTGAACTGAGACGATTTTTGAGGCGCCTCAAAACCGCGCGAACTGAGACGATTTTTGAGGCGCCTCAAAACCGCGTGAACTGAGACGATTTTTGAGGCGCCTCAAAAACCGCGTGAACTGAGACGATTTTTGAGGCGCCTCAAAACCGCGTGAACTGAGACGATTTTTGAGGCGCCTCAAAACCGTCGTGAACTGAGACGATTTTTGAGGCGCCTCAAAACCGTGTGAACTGAGACGATTTTTGAGGCGCCTCAAAACCGTGTGAACTGAGACGATTTTTGAGGCGCCTCAAAACCGCGTGAACTGAGACGATTTTTTGAGGCGCCTCAAAACCGCGTGAACTGAGACGATTTTTGAGGCGCCTCAAAACCGCTGTGAACTGAGACGATTTTTGAGGCGCCTCAAAACCGCTGTGAACTGAGACGATTTTTGAGGCGCCTCAAAACCGCGTGAACTGAGACGATTTTTGAGGCGCCTCAAAACCGCGTGAACTGAGACGATTTTTGAGGCGCCTCAAAACCGCGTGAACTGAGACGATTTTTGAGGCGCCTCAAAACCGCGTGAACTGAGACGATTTTTGAGGCGCCTCAAAACCGCGTGAACTGAGACGATTTTTGAGGCGCCTCAAAACCGTGTGAACTGAGACGATTTTTGAGGCGCCTCAAAACCGTGTGAACTGAGACGATTTTTTAGGCGCCTCAAAACCGCGTGAACTGAGACGATTTTTGAGGCGCCTCGAAACCGCGTGAACTGAGACGATTTTTGAGGCGCCTCAAAACCGCGTGAACTGAGACGATTTTTGAGGCGCCTCAAGCGGTGGTGAGGAGGATCATCCAGTGGAGGAGAAGCATTCTCCTCCACGTTGAGAAGCATCACGTTGTTTTGGTTAGGAATCTCCCCCTTCCACTCCACACCCTCCCTCCCTGTCTTGAGCGCTGTTAGTTATCCCATTGCCGCTTCACACGATTGCCTTCTGGGGGAGATGGAGAAGAGATGCACTCCACAGCCCACCCTCCACCCAACAGCAGCGGAAGCAGCAGTGGAGCAGGCGTTTATTCCATCCTTCAATCTACAGCCTAACTCCTCTTGCTGCGTCTTCCCCTTCCCCTTGGGTTTCTGGTTCCTCCCCCCAATGCAGGTCGACGGGTACCTACTAGGAGAGGAAGAAGTAAAGCTAAAGACCCTGATATGGACCGAGATGAACAAGGAGTATTTAGAAGAGTTGGAGCAGAAGCAGGCGGCGCAGCGCAGCGGGCAGCAGAGGACCAGGTGGCGGCGGTGGCGGCCGCAGCTGGTGCAGTGGCAGTGGGGGCAACAGTATTTTATTCCAGCCTTCAACCAGCAACCTATTTCTCTTGCTGCGTCTCCCCCCTCCCTTGGTTTTCTGGTTTCTTTCCTCAATGCAGGTGGATGGATACCTGTTGGGGGAAGAGGAGGTGAAGCTAAAAACCCTAATTTGGACGGAGATGAACAAGGAGTATTTGGAGGAGTTGGAGCAGAAGCAGGCGGCGCAGCGGGCGGCAGAGGACCAGGTGGCGGCGGTGGCTGCGGCAGCGGCAGCAGCAGCAAGTAAATGTGGCGCCGGGACCTCTGCTCGTGCTGCTGCCGCGGCTGCAGCTGCTGCTGCAGTGCTGCAAAAGGTGTGTCTTGATGTGGTTTCCATGCTGATGTGGTTTCCATGCTGATGTGGTTTCCATGCTGATGTGGTTTCCATGCTGATGTGGTTTCCATGCTGATGTGGTTTCCATGCTGATGTGGTTTCCATGCTGATGTGGTTTCCATGCTGATGTGGAACCATGCTGATGTGGAACCATGCTGATGTGGTTTCCATGCTGATGTGGTTTCCATGCTGATGTGGTTTCCATGCTGATGTGGTTTCCATGCTGATGTGGAACCATGCTGATGTGGTTTCCATGCTGATGTGGTTTCCATGCTGATGTGGAACCATGCTGATGTGGTTTCCATGCTGATGTGGTTTCCATGCTGATGTGGTTTCCATGCTGATGTGGTTTCCATGCTGATGTGGTTTCCATGCTGATGTGGTTTCCATGCTGATGTGGTTTCCATGCTGATGTGGTTTCCATGCTGATGTGGAACCATGCTGATGTGGAACCATGCTGATGTGGTTTCCATGCTGATGTGGTTTCCATGCTGATGTGGTTTCCATGCTGATGTGGTTTCCATGCTGATGTGGAACCATGCTGATGTGGTTTCCATGCTGATGTGGTTTCCATGCTGATGTGGAACCATGCTGATGTGGTTTCCATGCTGATGTGGTTCCATGCTGATGTGGTTTCCATGCTGATGTGGTTTCCATGCTGATGTGGTTTCCATGCTGATGTGGTTTCCATGCTGATGTGGTTTCCATGCTGATGTGGTTTCCATGCTGATGTGGTTTCCATGCTGATGTGGTTTCCATGCTGATGTGGTTTCCATGCTGATGTGGTTTCCATGCTGATGTGGTTTCCATGCTGATGTGGTTTCCATGCTGATGTGGTTTCCATGCTGATGTGGTTTCCATGCTGATGTGGTTTCCATGCTGATGTGGTTTCCATGCTGATGTGGTTTCCATGCTGATGTGGTTTCCATGCTGATGTGGTTTCCATGCTGATGTGGTTTCCATGCTGATGTGGTTTCCATGCTGATGTGGTTTCCATGCTGATGTGGTTTCCATGCTGATGTGGTTTCCATGCTGATGTGGTTTCCATGCTGATGTGGTTTCCATGCTGATGTGGTTTCCATGCTGATGTGGTTTCCATGCTGATGTGGTTTCCATGCTGATGTGGTTTCCATGCTGATGTGGTTTCCATGCTGATGTGGTTTCCATGCTGATGTGGTTTCCATGCTGATGTGGTTTCCATGCTGATGTGGTTTCCATGCTGATGTGGTTTCCATGCTGATGTGGTTTCCATGCTGATGTGGAACCATGCTGATGTGGTTTCCATGCTGATGTGGTTTCCATGCTGATGTGGTTTCCATGCTGATGTGGTTTCCATGCTGATGTGGAACCATGCTGATGTGGTTTCCATGCTGATGTGGAACCATGCTGATGTGGTTTCCATGCTGATGTGGAACCATGCTGATGTGGTTTCCATGCTGATGTGGTTTCCATGCTGATGTGGTTTCCATGCTGATGTGGTTTCCATGCTGATGTGGTTTCCATGCTGATGTGGAACCATGCTGATGTGGAACCATGCTGATGTGGAACCATGCTGGTTTCTGTGCTGTATTGGTTTGGTGCGACTTTTGAGAATTCTCAAATGTGGTTTCCATGCTGATGTGGAACCGTTTGTATCTGTGCAAATCTCAGTGTCAGATACATGGTATAATCTGCTGTCGTTTGCATCCGTGAGATTCTCAATGTGTCATATTGATGTAAGTTACAACCGTTCGCATTCGTGCGAAACCACCTGGACTTGGTCTCATCGTTCAACACCATGTGCAGGGCGGGCTCGACCGCAAGCGGAGGCGCAAGGACGAGGCAGCACTGGGTCCTGCCCAGTCAGCAGCAGAAGCTGCCAAGAGGGTTCTCGACAAGAAGGTGGGGCTTTCTTTTGCTGCCACACTGTGTCCTCTAGCGCTCGCTCCTCCTCCTCCTCCTCCTCCTCCTCCTCCTCCTCCTCCTCCTCCTCCTCCTCCTCCTCCTCCTCCTCCTCCTCCTCCTCCCTCCTCCTCCTCCTCCTCCTCCTCTCCTCCTCTCCGATAGTGCTGCTGCTGCTTCGATCTCCCCATCTCACCCATTAATCCCTTCCACTCGCCTCCACTCTATCTTTCTTCATTCCCACTCCTTTCCACCGTGCAGAGCTCAGCGCACGTCAACATGGAGGCTCTCGGACAGCTATTCTCAGATGGTGGCGGCGCCGCTGCAACTGCTACTGCTGCTGTTGCTGCTGCTGGGGCTGGAGCTGGGGCTGATGCTGCAGCTGGGCAGGGCCGGCCAAAGAAACAGCAGCACGTGCGGTGGGCTGATCAGGCTGCTGCCGCTGTTGCTGATGGTGCTACTAGTGGTGTTGGTGTTGGTAGTGCTGCTGCTGATGAAGCAGTGACAGCAGGGGCAGAGGAAGGGCCGCTCGCAGGGGGGTATGGTGGAGCAGAAGCAGGCTTGGGTGGGGACGAGGCGTGGGGAGGAGATGGCGCGCTGGGTGGGTATGGTGATGAGTCAACTACGTACGATGCTGAGTCAGCAGGGCATGGGGAAGGAGACATGGGAGTGGGCCATGATGAGGATTTGGAGCATAGGGGAGTGGATGGGGAGGAGGGTGATATGGATGGTGCTGCTGGGTTGCATAATGGGGAAGGTGCAGGTGATGGTGGTGGTGGTGAGGATGGTGAGGAGGAGGAGGAGGCAGCAGAGGCACATGCAGCTGATGGGGAAGAAACGGAATACCATGATGTGAATGGGGTGCAGTACCATGTGGAAACGGGTGAGGAGCACTATAACGAGGATGGGGCAGGAGAGGCGGTATGGGGAGGTGGGGGAGCGGATCAGCTGTACGGTGCAGATGGCATTGACCCCGATGACCAATACATGTTTTACTGAACATGACCTGTTTTTTTTAGAAAGCTCACATACTGTATTCTCCTGGACATAACACCCGGGGGTATTATGATAACCACAGGGAAAAAAAAGGGGGGGGGGGGGGGGGGGGGGGGGATGTGAGAACATTTTTTAATTAGACAATTTGGGTGTTTCAGTGGTCGTTTAACATCACAGTTTGAGGCGAGAATGTGAGTTTCACCTTTCGGGCCATTTGCAGCAAAAGATTCGCCAGCGTGGACAGCGAGATTGTGGGAGGGGGGAAATGTCTAATTGCAGCGAAAGATTCGCCAGCGTGGCGATAGCGAGATTGTGGGAGGGGGAGAATTTCGGCAGATTCTAAGTGAAAGTACACGCGAAATTTCATCTAGGAAGCATCCTCGCGATATTCTCCCGTAAAGAATCTGACTCGATAACAGCTATAATAGGAATCTGTAAGAAAAGGGGGGTGTTATAGAAAATCACCCAAAAAGGGGGGTATAGTACAAACGAGGTCGACTATAGCACCCCCCCCGCACAAGCTATCTGGGGGTATACTATTACGGGGGGGTGTTTTGTCCTGGAGAATACTGTAGTTGTATTTTATATTTTTTGAATAAATGTACCGTATGACCTAACTGATGTGTAGGCGCTTGGGTGCTGGTCAGGCCCTCAGATTCGTTTTTGGCCTGTCTGATTCGTCAGACTCTCTCTCAGTATTAGTCTGAAATCCTCAGAGTTGTCTAAAAAAAAAGTCTGAAACGTCAGAGTGTGTTTAAAAAAAAGTCTGAAACTTTCAGAGTACACTCAAGTAAAAGTCTGATTGTGCTTGTTGTAGCCCTAGTAATCATATTGAAGCAAGCCTACTCCACTTCTCATACAGCTTTGCCTACATTCATACTAGTACTACTACTACTACTAATGGTGCTGCTTAGCCTTCACAAGATCACAGTTAGAATAGAACTAACTAACTAACTACCCTACCTACATCCAGTCAGCAAATCCATCGTCATCATCACTGTCAACTGCATCTTTCTCAGCGTCTAAGTCTACCACTTCCATCTCGTCATCAACCTCCCTACTCTTCTTGCTCTGTTGCCTTCCTGCAGGCGGGAGTGGAGCGTTGCTTTGGGGCTTGCGCTTCTTGTAGCTCCTCCAGATGTTCACAATTTCATCCCACTTGGGCTCGTAGTCCATGAGACTCATGCACATGAGGTCTCCTAGGCGTGCATCTTTCAGCGCGCCTCTCTGCCACGACTTGATGATGTTCTGGCGGGAGAATCCCCGCTCGCACTCCACTGTGCTCAGCGGCAGTACGGCTACTGCCACCCACAGAAGCACGAGGTTGGGGTAGTTGTCCCGCCAGTCGGGTGTCTTGAGCATGGCAGTGAGCCCGGCGTGGAAGCTGCGCTCGTTCTTCGTGGCTCCTGCAAGCACCGAGGAGAACATGCGCAGCTCCTTTTCCGCACGACGCTTGTTGATTCCTGGTGGGGGAGGAAGAGTAACAGTAGACGACGCTTAGTGAATATACAGTGAAGCACAACATATGCAATGCCAATTACAACAGTTACATGAGAACTACACAAACATGGGCTTACCGGGCAGGATCTCCTCGGTCTGGTCGGCCTTGAAAAGGGTCACAAGCGACTCCAGCCACTCCATGCACCTACGGTTCCTCTCTCCTCGATCCAGCGGGTACTCGTCGGGGGTGAATAGCCTTGCCCCAGACATCCCTTCCAGATCGCCAAGCCGATGAAGCAGTTGGTGCACGATCACCTCGGCGAACTGGGTGCAGACCTCAATGCAAGCATCGTGGGTCCCAGGCCCATCAAATTCCTCTTGCTCGTCCTCATGCAGCCTGAAGGTGAAGCGTGCAGGGCGGCCGTCCGAGTCAACACCCTCGACAGTAACTTCCTTGTTTCCTCCTGGGTCGTGACGCGTGATGAAGGGGGACAGCAGCTCGCTGACGCCACCACCGAAGTCGTCGCCGCAATCGACGTAGCGGCTCTCGATGTGGGACGTTGTGCGCTTGATCTGCGCATGCACGCCCACATAGTCAAGCTGGACAGAAACAAGGCACAAGGTAGTTAGCTCATGCGCACGGTAAGCATGCTGGAAAGAAGCAGCACTAGAACTTAGCAGAAGAGGATATTGACCAAGCATGTAACAACAATGATAGGACACTATAACATTGAGCTCACCTCTTTGTGCTGGAAGGCCCTGTTCAAGATGTTGAGCTGCTCAAGCACGTCTGCTATGAAAAACAGGAGAAAGTGAAACCTGTAGCTTGTCACGAGCACATACAGCTCCGCGTCCCACTCCTTCAGCATCACGATGAGAGCCGGCAACACTTGCAGAAGCCTCTGCACCGCGTCACCCCTCGATAGCCAGCGGACGGTATGAATGCATTGCAGCTCGAGTGAAGTTGACGTGAAAACTTCCTGCAAGCCCATGAAGCGCTGGTGCCATGGCCCAGAGCGGCCGAGATGCTCTGCCACTGTCCGAATCACCTTGTCAATGACGTTGAAGGCGGGGATTTTCTCGGCGGCAGTTTTAGCCGCCAGTGCCTCCCTGTACAACACGAGTGAAGGACATTAGTGAGACTGTCAAATAGAATATGTAAACATTGCACTGCACGATTAGGCACAAACATTCCAGACAGTACCTGTGTGCGATGCAGTGGGATGACACCAAATGTGGGATGCGCAGGCGGAGGCGTGTCGTGAGGCCAGCTTGTTTGCCCATCATGACTGCCGCACCGTCGGTGCTGATGCCTGCAATGCGCTGAAGGCCGATCCCCACCGCCTGCAGGTGTGACACCAAGCTAGCCAGAAGAGAGGCTGCGTCGGCCTTGTCCACGGTGAGTAGGGCCATGAACTCCGTGACAAGCTTGAACTCGCGGATGAAGGTGATGAAGATGATAAGGTGCTTCCCGCTGCACCTATCAGTGCTCTCGTCGATCGAGATGCCGACGAAGGGCGACAGCAGGATGTGATCCAGCTGGGTTGTCTGGAGCCATGTCGCCGTCACTTGCGTCAGCTCACCGAAGCCGTATCTGCAACAAGAAACAACAGTGAGTATCAAATCATTGACGTACTTACTGGAAACACATATTATTACAGCAGCTCACATAAAGTGTTCATCACTCACGTCGTATAGTACGTGCCGTACCCCTTCTTCGGGAAGCCCTGCATGCCCTTCTCCGCCAGATACCGCACCAGTTTCACCCACATCCCCATGGGCGCGTCGGACCTGCTGACGAACAGCAACGAGTCGAGAAGGGCGATGACGCGCAGCTTCTCAGTATCAACCGTTGCGCGATGTTGGTCGATAAGCGGCTGCGTCGCCCGACACTCCTGCGCATATGTCAACCTCGCCATCGCCAGCTTGTGCTTCGCCGTGCCAGCATGTTTCCGAAACGATTGTGTCTGCAAATCGGTAGCACCTTTCCCACTCCTCCCGCACTTGCCTGCATCGCCAGCAAATGACACACACAAAGTACACTTGAACGCAGGCAAACCAGAGGCGACTTTAGTGATCCGAAGCCACGGAAAACGAGCAGACCAGAGACTCTTGAACTTGTCTATCGCCTCATCGTAGACTTCTTCGATGAGCTCGTCCAGGTTGATGTTAAGGCGTGGACGCGGTCGCTCAGATGTTCCGGGGGCGTTGACGTCGGCGGACGACGACGATGCCTTGCAGAAGCCCAATGTCGCCTGCTTGAGCCGAATCGTGCGCGCCGTGGTCAGAGGCGAATGCTGCGAGGCCGCACCCACAGTTGGTTCCGCAGGTGTCTCTGCCACAGGTTCGGCAGACAGTGAGATTACCGGTGCCGTCGGTTCTTTCTGTGTGGGGATCGTATCGGGCGTGGCGCGTGCTGCCTTGTCGAGTTCTAACGCACTGAGAAGAAAGTCTAAGCCTGTTAAGGCAGGCTGGGAATCAGGGTCGGGATCGCTGGAGCCGGGATTGTCCAGCACCGCCATGGCGGGGTTCAGAAAGAGCCTGCCGAGCAGGAACAAGAAATGTGTTCGCGAGGCAGAACTAGGGACTGGCTGAGGCCAGTCAACACCAGCTAGGGGGTGTGGATGAAACCCTAGCTGAAAGGTGATGGCAATAGACAAGACAAGGAGGACACGTTGAGGTGGATGGGTGGTTGCCTTGCATGCACGACAACGACGAGGCGCGTCAGAAGTGCAATGCTGTCAGCGTTGTGTCGTGGGTGGCTAGTGCAGCATCGTGGGTGCAAGGCCGGTCCGTGATGGCACACAGAAGCTGCCATAAGGACCAATCGGTGCTCTAGCAGGGTGTGCGCTGGTGTTTACGTAGGAAAAACCGCGTCGCAGGGCGGCCACGCCCACAAAACATGACTGTTGATGTGTGGTCCCAGGTTACGCGTGATTGACCACCCAGGTACACGTACTAGCGCAAATCGTGGGTGTGGGTGCCAAGGTACATTGAATCAGTTTCAGAGTCCGTACGCATTTGACTCTGAATTATCAGAGTACACTCAAAAAAATCTCTGAAATTGCAGACTTGGCTTAAAAAAAACTCTGAATTTAACAGACAACACTTCAAAAAAATTCTGAATTTAACAGACAACACTAAAAAAAAGTCTGAGAAGTCAGACTTTTATAGGCAAATCAGAGAAATTTCTCTGACTTCATGGGGCCTGGTGCTGGTAGTGTAACTTTCAGTGTACCGGTAGCTAGCGTTATCTAATTGGCAAACACTAGTGCCTTAATGTCCAATCAAAGCCGAGCTTATGTTTCCTCGCCACGTCCTCTCCTTGTCCACCATTCAGCATCAGTTTCACTATAGGGTTATGAGAGCCCAGACTACATTGTAGGAATTTTGTATTAGAATATTTCGTATAACATTATCACTTACTCACCATGTTGAAGACTATTTTTGCGCGATGTACTACTCATGGTAAAAAAGGCAGGGCACAACGCATGAAATGGAAGTACCGTATTCTCCCGGATAAAACACCCCCCCGTAATTGTACAACCCCGGGTAGCTAATACGGGGTGGGTGTTATATCCGACCCCGTTAGTACTATACCCCCCTTTTTGGGGTGATTCTCTATAACACCCCCCTTTTCTTATAGATTCCTATTATAGTTGTTATCGAGTCCGATTCCTTACGGGAGGATATCGCGAAAATCACTCCCTAGAAGAAATTTCGCATGTACTTTCACTTAGAATCAGCCGAGATATCCCCCCTCCCACAATCTCGCTGTCGCCACGCTGGTGAATCCCAAAATCTCGCTGTCGCCACGCTGGCGAATCTTCCAATGCAAGTGGTCCAAGAGGTGAAGTGGCCCAAGTGGCCCACAATATCCTCGTACTCGGTTTTGCGGCATTGATCAACAATCTTGAAGTGAAGTCAGACCCCTGATTTTGTTTCACATCTTTTCTGTTTTATAAAAAATATACCATATCATAAGACCCGGGTATTATATAGGATTTTCCTTTGAGGAGACCCCCCCCATTTTTTTCCAGTGGTTTTCATAATACCCTAGGGTGTTTTATCCAGGAGAATACGGTAGTTATAGTACAAATCAAACCAGAGTCAAAGAGTGAAAAGAAATTATTATAAAAGGCCCTTAGCAAGGTTGTTCCTTCCCCAACGCGCCATATAATGAGGTAGGCTGCATACCTACACCCACTTGTGTAACACTCAAGATCTAACGGTAACATCTCACGTATGGTAGGTAGCCTATGCTCCAATGCTGCTGAAACAATCGGCATACCTGTATAGAAGCCTTGGGAACATGTCACCGCCGTCTCGAGCATGAATGTATACTGTAGTATGTTGACCACTTCAGTGGTCACATCGGTGGAGTGTAGAACCCGTTTCAGTGTAGCAGTAACTCCAGAAGTCTCAATCTTCCAGTAGAAAAGAGACTCCCCTAAGGAGAATGCTCACTTGCAGTGGCCATTCACTCGCGTATACTCCAACTGTGGCAGAGTAAAACCCCTTATCCATCATATCAGATCTCACATCTGCCGATCATCAGCCAGACTCCTCTTCCGCAGCTCCGCCCATTTACCCGTGCCAACCAATCAGCTGCTGCCAGCTGGCGCCAACCAATCAGCTGCTGCCAGCTGGCGCCAACAAATCAGCTGCTGCCAGCTGGCGCCAACCAATCAGCTCATGCCAGCTGGTGCCATGAGAGATGCGACACTGCGAATACACCTGTAGCGCGTCAACAGCTGCCACCTCATCATCGCAGCTGCCACATCATTGCCACTGCTGCCACCTCATCACCACAGCTGCCACCTCATCACCACAGCTGCAAGCATGCATTATTGGAGGCATCTCAACACACCCCACCCGCCGGCGCTGCTGCCACTGTCTCTGCTTCTTTCCCCAACTCCCCCCACATGCAGCCTTGCTAACTCCTACAGGCACTCACAAGTCTTACTTCCCCAACCTACACTCACCCCCCACACATGTCCTACCCACACACACCCTGTGCAGAAACACCCTCCCCACGCTCTGTCTCCCACCCTGCTCCTCCCCGACTCATCCCCCACTCATCCCCCACTCATCCCCCACTCATTCTCCACTCATTCCTCCACTCATCCCCATCTCCTCGATAGCTAGCCTCCACACTACCACTAAGCCTCAGTTTCGGTACAACCAGTATAAGCACAGTTGAGTTCTGCGCACAGGTTGACACAACCGCTACATCCGCTGCACCCCTGCTGCTACAGCTGCTGCAGGTAGAAACGCCTTCTCCACCCAACCCTTACTACTGCCGCACACACTCTCTGTTCACTCCGTTGTTTCCGTCACTCTCCCCATCTTTCAACCCACATCATCCAGTCATCCAACCACCCTCGCCTTCCCCAACACCTCCTCCTCCCACAACACCTCTCCGTCCACCTTCCCCCACACCTCCGCCCATCCCTTCACCCGTTTCCCTTAGTCTCGTAACTGCAGCAGCAAACAGCAGGTTGTGGCAAGGCTAAGGAGCGTTGAACGGCACAAATCCCATTGGGGGGAGGAAGGCTGTAGCACTGCCAGCTGTAGCAACGGAAGCTGTAGCACCGGCAGCTGTAGTGCCAGAAGCTGTAGCACCAGCAGGCCCCAAGACTGTAGCACTGGCAGCTGTAGCAAGGCTAAGGAGCATTGAACGGCACAAATCCCATGGGGGGGAGGAAGGCTGTAGCACCGGCAGCTGTGGCACCGGCAGCTGTAGTGCCAGAAGCTGTAGCACCAGCAGATACGGCTGTAGCCACGTGCATCAATGGAGCAGATGAGCTGGCGGCCAGGTCAGCAGGAACAGCAGGAAACACAGTGCCGGCTGTAGCAGCAACACTAGCTCCGGCTGTAGCAGTGGTGACTATAGAAGCAGTGGCTGTAGCAGGAGTGGTGGTGATCGAAGCTTGAGGAGGAGGATGGTATGGGTAAACTGGACTGGGAATGAGCGATGGGAACGGGGTAAGGCCCAAAGCACTAGGATACTGCTGCAGGTGCATCCCAGGGTGTGTTCCAGGGTGCGTTCCAGGTTGCGTTCCAGGTTGCGTTCCAGGCTGCATCGCAGGGTGCAATCCAGGGTGCATCCCAGGGTGTGCAAACGGGGGCATGAGAGAATGCCCAAAGAAAGCTCCTGGAAACTGTGACAAAGGTGGTCCCATCTGGCCTGGAAAGGCTTCACCTTGTGTCTTTCCAAGTTGTGTATTCGCAGCAGCACCGGCAGCAGAAGCAGTAGAAGCCGTGGCAGCAGCTACAGAAGCAGCTGTAGCAGCAGCTGTAGCAGCAAGTGCTGCAGCCTGTGAAGCTGCTGCAGCTGTAGCTTGCGGGGACGAGTGGCATTGAGGAGCGTTTTCAGCTGGTGCTACTTCTGCATGAGCGTTGGAGAGGGAAGAGGAGGCAGTGGTGGGTTTGGAGTCTTGGGGAGTGCGCGAGGTGCGCACGGGGGGGACCTGCTGCTGCATATGTTCCTGCTGCTGATTCAACTGCTGCTGCTGCAGTCCCTGCTGCTGTTGCAGCTGCTGCTGACTCTGTTGCTGCTGCATATGTTCCTGCTGCTGATTCAACTGCTGCTGCTGCAGTCCCTGCTGCTGTTGCAGCTGCTGCTGACTCTGTTGCTGTTGCTCTTCCTGTTGCTGTTGCTGCTGCTGCTCCTGGCACTGCTTCCTGGCGCCTCTGTTCTGTTTCTGCCGTGCCTGCTTCTGACCAGCCTTCCTCTCCTTTCGAGCCTGTTCAACGCCCGCCTCCTGCTCCTCACACCAAACCCGGTGGGCCTCCCTTGCTTGCTGCTGGTGCCGCTGCAGCTGCCAGAAATGCTCCCTACTCTGCTGCTCGTCCTCCTCCTGCTGCTGTTGCTGTTGCTGTTGCTGCTGTATGTGCTGTTGCTGCAGCATCATCTGCTGCTGCTCCTGCTGCATTTGCTGTTGCCGCAGCATTTGCTGCATTTGCTGCTGCTGCTGCTGCTGCTGCTGCAGCAACTGCTGCCCCTGCTGCAATCGCAGCTGCATCTGCTGCTCCTGCTCCTGCTGCAATTGCTGCTGCTGCTGCTGCTGCTGCTGCTGCTGCTGCTGCTGCTGCTGCTGCTGCTGCTGCTGCTGCTGCTGCTGCTGCTGCTGCTGCTGCTGCTGCTGCTGCTGCTGTTGCTGGTGAGCCAACCAGACGCTATTACCCACCTCGGCACGCACATTAGGGTCCTGTGGGGCAAGGGCGTACACTCTTGACCCGCTGGCAGCGACAGCTGCATTATTAGCGGCAGTAGCAGCGGCAGCAGCAGCAGCAGCAGCAGCAGCAGCACAAGCACTATCCCCTCTCCCCGCCCTCCCCATCCTCCCGACACAAGCAGCAGCCCTGCCCCTCTTAGCAGTACCACGACTAGCAGGCTTCGAAAAGCCTGCCATCGCCCCTGCCTGCACTCCCACTGCTCCTCCTGCCCTTGCCCCTGCCTCTGCCCCTTCCCCTAGCCCTTCCCCACCCCCTCCCCCTCCCCCTGCACTTCCAGCAGCAGCAGCGGCAGCAGCAGTAGCAGCAGCCACAGCAGCGGAAGCGGCAGCAGCGGGGGGCGGAATGGGGTTGGCGGCGGAGAGGAGTTGGCAGAGGGGGCGGGAGCGCATGTGGTTGACAAGGTTACACTTGAAGGCAAACTGCATGCCGCAGCGACACACCAGCATCTGCCCACACATCTTCCCATGGTCCCTCAGATCCGCCTGGGGTTATCGGGTGCAGTGGAGGGGAATGGGGGGAGACGTAGGGGTAGGAAAAGGGCGGAAGAGAAGGAAGGAGAAGACGAAGACATGAAGTGGCAGCAATAAGGGGAAGGGAGGAGAGGGGGGAGAAGGTCGCGGGGGGAAGGGGGTAGGGGAAAGGGCAAGGTGGAGGAGGGAGAGGAGTTGGCAGAGGGGGCGGGAGCGCATGTGGTTGACGAGGTTGCACTTGAAGGCAAACTGCATGCCGCAGCGACACACCAGCATCTGCCCACACATCTTCCCGTGGTCCCTCAAATCCGCCTGGGTAGAGGGGGTGGGGGGGTGGTGGGTGGCGGCGGGAGGGGAACGACAGGGGGCAGAAGACAGTAAGGTTGATGTGCCTCATAGCATGCCGCAGCGACACACCAGCATCTGTTCACACATCTTCCCATGGTCCCTCAAGTCTACCTGGAGGGGTTGTTGGGGAGGAAAGAGTGAGACGAGAGGGAGGATGAGAATGGGCGGGGAGCAGGCAAGAAAGAGGGCGGAAAGAGTAAAGACATGAAGCAACAGTGGAGTGCACATCAGCACAGCAGCACATCAGCACAGCAGCACATCAGCACAGCAGCACAGCAGCACAGCAGCACAGCAGCACAGCAGCACAGCAGCACATCAGCACAGCAGCACAGCAGCACAGCAGCACAGCAGCACAGCAGCACAGCAGCACAGCAGCACAGCAGCACAGCAGCACAGCAGCACATCAGCACAGCAGCACAGCAGCACAGCAGCACAGCAGCACAGCAGCACAGCAGCACAGCAGCACAGCAGCACAGCAGCACAGCAGCACAGCAGCACAGCAGCACAGCAGCACAGCGGCACAACAGCACAGCAGCACAGCAGCACAGCAGCTGCACTTGCTGCACGCAAACGGCCTTACCTCAACGAAGAACCGCTTGCTGCACTTGCCACACGCAAACGGCTTCTCCCCGTGTGCATGCATGTGAGTATGTGGAGAGAAAGAGATGAGCGAAAGCCAGGGGGGGGAGACAAAAAGAGGGTGAGAGCAAGTCTCACCTCAACAAAGAACCGCTTGCTGCACTTGGCGCACGCAAACGGCTTCTCCCCCTGCTGGTGCTTCCGCCCAAAATGCCGCCTCAGCTCATACAGCCCCACAAACGTCTTCCCGCACTCCGGGCAGCGCGACGGAATCTTTTTATTCTGCCCGGCCTTGCTGCCCCCGTGCCGCGGCCCCAGAGCATCCTCACACGCCGCCTGGAACACCGCGTCGGGCAGATCGTGCGTGCGCAGATGCATCTTCAGCGTCTGCCAGTTCTTGAACGTTTTCCCGCAGTCGCTGACGTGGCAGAGAAACGGGCGGCGGTTGTGGATAAGGTCCAGTGAGACGATCTCTGCTTGTCTGGCGGTAGGGGTGTGCGCTGCTGGCTTGCCATTGGCAGTGGCGGTAGGGATATGCGCTGGTTTGCTATTGGTAGTGGCGGAAGGGGTATCTGCTGGTTGGGAATTGGCAGTGGCAACAGTGGTGGTAGGGATAGGTGCTGGGAAGCCATTAACAACAGCAATCTCTGCTTTCCCAAAGAAAGAAGTGGCTGTTCTACCAGTATCCCTAGCAGAGACACTGACTAGCTCTCCAGCAGCTGCTCCAGGCAGGGAGGCTGGCAGGAAGGCTAGCGAGCCTGTCAAGGCCAACACGCCTGAGCCCCCAGCATCTGCAACTCCTTGTGCTGGGGAAAAGTGAGTGCCTGCGGTGGTCTCAGCAGGCAGAGCAATAGGTGCAGCCTCCACAACAGCAGCAGAAGCAGCAGCACCCCTGGCACCGACACCAGCAGCAGCAGCAGCAGCATCAGGAGCAGCAGAAGTACCAGCAACAGTACCATCAGCGCCAGCACCAGCGCCACCTGAAACCTTGGCGCCTGAACTTCCAGTAACCAAGGGCCCGTTCAGAAGAACCAAAGCAGCTCCTGCAGGCTGGTCCGCTGTGTCTGAACCCACCCCCTCTGCCCCCTGCGCAGCAGCATCTGTTGCTGCATCTGCTGCAGTATCTGTAGTCCCGACCAGGGCAATCCGTCCAGCAGCATCAGCCATACCTGCTGTAGCAGCAGCATGAACAGCAGCATCAACAGCAGCATGGACAGCAACACCAACATCGACAGCTGTAGCAGCAGTCAGAGTGGCAGTTGAAGCAGCAACCAGTGTAGCTTCAGCAGCAGCAGCAGCAGTCCCGACAACTGCAAGCCCAGCAGTGGCACCTTGTGCATCAGGTGCTGTTGTTGCAGGTTCAGTGGGAGCAGTGGGAGCAGCGTCAACAGCAGTGAGCTTTTGAGTTGACTCAGGAGCAGCAGCATTTGCAACCTCAGTGGGGGAAGTGGGGGCAGCTGCAGCAGTCCAGTCTTGACGCTCCTCACAAAGCGTAGCAGCAATTTCAGTGGGACGGCTAGTGGTAGCAGCGTCAGGGGGAGACGGGTGGACAGGCATGGACGCATCGGCATCCGTTGCTGCTCCTGCTGCTCCCGTGGCTTCTGCCGTCACTGCTGCTGCACCTGAAACTGCAACTGAATCCGTCCCTACTACAACTGCGCCCGCTAAAGCCGCATTGGCTACAACTGCACCTGCTTCAACCTCCTCTGCTAGTGCCCCATCCGCTACAGCTGCACCTGCTACAACCGAATCTGCTATATTCCCATCTGCTACAATCGCATTCACTACAACCCCATCCGTTACAACCACCTCCGCCACAACTGCATCCGCTACAGCCGCGTCCGCTACAGCCGCGCCTACTACAGCTTCATTTGCTACAACCACATTCGCTACAACCGAATCTGGTGCTGCAGCAACGTCAATTGCTGGAACGTCTAGCCGTTGCTCTGTCGTTTTCCCAGTTGGCAGCAGCACGGGCGGCAGGGCGGACGGCAGCACCGGCGGCAGAGCGGACGGCAAAGCGGGCGGCAGAGTGGGCGGCAGGTCCAAAGGAGGCAGGTCGACGGCGGAAACGTCAGGGAGAGGTGAATGCACTGGCAGCACCGAGGGGTCTCGCAGAGAAGGCGGCTCCAAGAGGGTGGGAGGGTCTAGCAGAGTAGGGGCGTCAAGAAGCGTGGCATCGGGCAGAGGGGGAGGCAAAAGGGGGAGGTCCTGTGAGATAGGAGGCTCAGGGGTGGAAACAGGCTCAGGGGGGTCAGCGACAGCTGCAGCAACGGTTGAATTTTGAGACGTCTCAAGAGTAGGGGAAACAAGAAGCGTGGCATCGGGCAGAGGGGGAGGCAAAAGGGGGAGGTCCTGAGAGATAGGAGGCTCAGGGGTGGAAACAGGCTCAGGGGGGTCAGGTAGAATGAGAGAGTCTAGCAGAACGGCGCTGTCGGGAGGTGGGGCGGGGCGGGGAAAGGTGGGAGGGGCTGAGAGAACGGGTGACTCAGAAGCACAAGCAGCACCAGCAGCACCAGCAGACTCAACCGCGTCAACAGCGGCAGAAGCGTCAGCAGCAGCAGCAGCAACAGCAGCAGCAGAAGCGGCAGACTCAACCGCGCGAGCAGAACCAACAGCACCAACAGCACCAACAGCACCAGCAGCAGCAGCACCGTCAGCAACGGCCGCTCTACTCTCCCTTCTCGCTCTCTTCTGACAAGGAACCGAGTCCCAACCAGCCTCCCTCCCTTCCTCCTCCAATCCGCGCTTCAAACACTCCATGTTCTGTGGCCTAGTGGGTAGAATGGTACTGTCTGCGATGCTGCTGGGCGGCATGAGCGGCAAAGTGTCCCCTGAATGGCTGCTGGGCGGCATGGGCGGCAAAGTGTCCCCTGAATGGCTGCTGGGCGGCACACTGCTGGGCGGCAGTGTGAGGGGCTGGGGGAGGGAGCCCGCGGAAGCAGCAGAGCGGAGGGCGGAAGACCCGTCCGCGGCTACTGGCGCGCGGGAGGGCGGGGGAAGGGCGGGCGCGGAAGACAGAAACGCAGGCGCGGACAGGCACGCGGGGTGGAGAGGCGGGGCGGAAGCGAATTGGGCGGAGGGAGTAGATGGCGCGGACGCAGGCGCGGGCGGGCACGCGAGGGGGCATGCGGCGGGGAATGGGGGATCGCGCGCAGGCTGGGCGGAAGGTGTTGCGGGCGGGGATGCTAGAGGAGGGGCTGGGGACGCGCGGGACGGCACGCGGGCGCAGTGCCCTCGCGGGGACGCGGAAGCGGCGGAGCAGTAAAGCGGGGGCAAACGGGGGAGAGCAGCAGTGGGGGAAGAAGCAGGCGAGGCAGTGGGGGGGGAAGGTTCCGCGAAGCCGGGATCAAGCGGAACGGAAGCTTCTGGAACGCGGGGGAGGGACGGCAGAGAAGCAGAGAGGCGCATCTGTGGAGGGGGGCGCGTTGGGGAGAGAGGTGGGGGTGATACAGACCAATTCAATCCAGCCCCCCCTGCTGCTGCCGCCGCTGCAGCTGCTGCTGCTGCTGCTCCTGTCGCTGCTGTTGCTGCTGCTGTTGGCCGAACTGACGATATCGAGGCTGATCGTATCGCGGATGCTTGAGCCGCTGAAACAGAATGCCCGCTGCTTACACCGCCGTCAGTTACGCTGGGATTAATGGCCGGGGGAGCTAATACAGCTACAGATGGTGTCGCAGACGCAGCGGACGACACAACGACGGGGTTGTGCGACCCAAACGACGCGCCATGCGACGCGCGCGACGTCGCGTCTGGCGACCAGCGACCAAAGCGACGGCGCATCACCAGATCTAGCTGTCGCATCTGCTCATGCGATCGCACACGTCGCATGCTATGCATCGGCAGCTGCTGCGGCGACTGCGGTTGCGACTGCGGCTGCTGCAGATACCACCGCGGTTGCTGTCGCTGCTGCCCCTGTCCTTGCCCCTGCCCCTGCCCCTGCGCCTGCAACTGCGCCTGCGCCTGCCACTCCGCCTGCCCCCGCTCTTGCCCAGCCATCCATCCCCACACCTGCGCCTGTTCCCGCGCCTCCCTCTGTCCCCATCCCTGCGTCACCGCCTGCGCCTGTACTTGCCTCTCCTCCTGCCCCTGCGTCTGCCTTTGCGCCTGCACCTGCGCGTGCCCCTCCGCCTGCCCCTGCGCCTGCGCCTGCCCCTGCCCCTGCGCCAGACTTTGTTGATCGGAGGGGGACGAAGAGATAATAGACTTGAGCGTGCTCACTAGATTCGGGTGCATCACCGGCATAACCGGCCGCAGAACCGGCGACATAACTGGCCGCAGTACTGGCGACATAGTCGGCTGCATAGCCGGTGACAGAACGGGCTGCATAACCGGCGACATAACCGGCCGCATAACCGGCGCGAGAGGTGCATGCGGTAGCTGCAGCGGCGCCGGCATCAGCAGCGGCGACATGCAGACTTGAACCGCGGAGAGGCCAGGGGGAACGGGGGGAACTGCGCCCGCGGGCAGGAGAGCGGAGGGGACTGCGCCTGCGGGCATCTCTACGGCGGAAACCAGGGGGCTTCTGGGGAAACCCGCGGGGGTAATCGACGCAGGTGGCATGGTTTGCGGAACGGAGCGGGATGCGGAAGGGGACGACATCCCGGGCATCGGCGGAGGATACGACCAATTTGCGCCAACTGCTCCCCCCCCGTCTGCGATGACTGCAGCGGAGACCCCGCCCTCCCCTTCCCCTCTTGACATATACCGCGAGGGTGGAACAGACGGTAGAGCCGCGTGCGGAAGGCTGAGTGACGGAATTGCGACGGAATGCGTCGCCATGGCGTCGCCAGGACCCGGCGCTGCGACTGAAAGAACACCGTAAGCCGCTGGCGGGAGGAGGCGGTGCGCTTGCGGCTGTTGACCAAATACCGGAGCTTCTGCGGCTGCTACAGCTGCAGCAGGCGCCGTCGCGTCGGCTGTAGCGTCGGATGTAGCGGCGATCGTATCGTCGGTTGGAACGTCGGCTGTGGCAACAGCCGTGGACCATTGCTGAGACGGCACGCGAGGCAGGGGCGCGGGTGAAGCTGCCCCGATGCCGGGCGGAGGGGGAGGAGAGGAGGGCGAATCACCAATAGGCGCGAGAGACGGAACCCTAGCAGAAAATGGATAAGGCGAAGCTCCAGAAGCGACTGGCACTGTTACGCCGGGAACACTAATAGACGATGGGTTATCAACAGCACTAACAGACGTATGTAAGGCTTCACCCGCTTTAGGTAGCTCCGCGAGTTGCGAAGTATCGGTGGTAACACAGGGACGCGAAACAGGACTTGCTGGCGACAACGAGGGAGTATCGGGGGGGCTACATGGTGCTGCTGCTGCTCGCATCGTGCGCTTCCAGCGAAGCTAAAGGAGCCAGAGGAGCTAAATCGAAAGCTACGGAGCGCGACTCGATGCGGAAAGGCGAGTTAGGAGCGACAGCGGGAGATGCGTGCAAGAAACACCAGATCCGAAACATTGCTGAATTTCTTCGTCTTGACGACAATCTAGCGCATGGAACCACGGCCTCGAACGAATGCCAGGAAATCTGGAATGAGACACCAGCAAGCAGAATCTGCTCACCACAGAACTGCCTTGTGCCTTCAAAATCCTGCACTGTACTGCACTACCAAGACGCCTCCTGCTCATTGCAGGTTGAAGCACCAGTCACAGGTCTCTCTCCACTAACCCGCCACTTGTGGAAGTTACGAAAGGACCGACCTCGATGTTAATAATCTTTTGTGTGGTGGAGGGCGGAAGCCATAGCCGGGAAAAGTGCACGGGAAAGTGCGGAATAATGAAACCCTACTGGCTGCTGGAAGCGTTGACAGAAGACAGACTGCAGGTCGAGCATTTCCAACCACTTATTATTCGTCTGTGCGAATTTATCAACTAATCATCCGTTACAGGGCTCCTAGTTCGCCACAGGAATCGTCTGTTCGAGTCATCCTTCGCGAATTCGCGAGGGCTTCTTAGGTGTCAATCTTTCGCTGTAGTCCGCTCGAGCCAGATCTTGGGGGAGATGAAAGGTGGAGAGGAAAACTGTCGGAGGGGTTCCGAAGACGAAGGTTTTGTTACAAGCACGGTGATTTCGAATGTTCGAATCGCCCGAGGGGAAGGTGGACTCCCCATATGCGAAATGACAACCGACGCCTAGGGTTCACTGTACCGAAAATGCTTCATCGTGAAGCTATAAAGTACCTGCTATTTATCACAAAATTGTCCATGGGCCACCAACCCGGTGCTTTCTATTAATGCAACCCATGTAATATGATATTATGCATTTGGTCAGGCATGAGCAATTGCAAAAGAATGGCAGAGTTGCACTTTACATACGATGCTGTATGTGTTATTCCTTCGATCGTGCATGTGGATGGGCTACGCGATAGATGAGAGAATGCCTGGGAGAATGCTCCCAGAATGCCTTCACAGCTGAAATTACAGGAACACGAGGATGCACGAAAAGGGTTTCAATATCAGGCTGCAGTCAATGGTTAGACATTGTTTGGGAAACCCTGGCTTTACCAGGGCAAAAGCTGCACTACACCTTGGGTTCCATTGCACTAACATGATACGAACGATATCTTGAAACCCGGGGTAGCTAAAAAAACCCCGTGACAAAAAATTAGGATACTTTAGGGCGTTTTTCCCTGATCAGAAGACGCTCGGCTAGCATCCCTTCTTGCCTTTGCTGCTTGTGCCTGGGCCGAGGCATACTCTGAAGGCCAACCCACAACACAGCAAACAACGGTGCCCCAAGGATCCACAGACAGACCAGCATGACAGCAACAAAAACAAGGGGCACAGGGGGATTGAGGGTGGTTAGCGGGCTTTATCAGCTACAATTGAATTGTGCATTCACACCAATCCACCGATCCTGACCAGCCATAGCTGCCACACGCTCGACACAAGCCCCACTAGGACCATACACATCATGCACACCTTGTAACTCCCAGGTTTTTTTATTTATCCAAAGCCAGCAATTCTTAATACACGAACACGAGGGTCCCAGGGGTCCTGACTCACAGGGAAGAGCTGTAAGGTGTCAAGAACCAACTACTTTCATACACACCTTCTAACTCCTCTTCAGTGGTAAACATGTTTGAGTCGAAAATAAGGACGCGGCACCTCTAGGGAAATTGTCAGGATCGTGGGGGGATCGGGGCCTCACACCGGTTCAGGCACATCGATCGGCATACCGATGTGTCCACACTGCAGATTTGCAATCGCCTGGACACACCGAGCCACGGGCGACAGGATCGAAAATATATGGGGCAAAATTGCCTGATCTCCACAATTACACGATCGATGTGTGGGCGCTGGTACATCGATTGTGCGAGCCAGAGGTGCCACCATTTTGGGCACCAATTCACTGTACACTTGCGAGATGGGGCGAAACAGGATACCAGGCTGTTGGCGATGTCGCGATTTCACTGTACAAGCTAGGATCGACCCCCACTCAGGATCGATCGTGGCTTCCTCCCTAGAGGTGCCGCGTCCTAACCCTACGAGGACCGTGCACCTCATACACACCTTGTAACTCCTCTTCAGTGGTATCCATGTTTGAGTCGAAAATAACCCTACGAGGACCGTGCACCTCATACACACCTTGTAACTCCTCTTCAGTGGTATCCATGTTTGAGTCGAAAATAACCCTACGAGGACCGTGCACCTCATACACACCTTGAACTAGCAACTAGTCAGTGGTGACCACCCGCTAGTCTCATACACACCTTGTAACTCCTCATCAGTGGTATCCATCTCATGATCCAGCAGCGTGGGAAACCCTGGGGGGACCATGCACTTCATACCCACCTTGTGACTCTTCATCAGGATACTTTTGGGTTGACCCAGAAGTTACTTCGTACACACCTTGTAACTCCTCATCGGTGGTAACCATCTCGAGATCCAGCAGCGCCAGCAGCCGGTGCAAATCCACCCCGCTTGTCCAATTCTCCCTCACATTCCCCTGTCGCAGCTTCAGCCTCCCTCTATTCGCTGTTCCCCCCCAAATCATTCCCACAGGAACCAGCATCGGCTCATGACTGTGTCCCACCCCCTCCCATCCCTCTTCTCTCCCCTCTGCCTGCCCGGCCCCTTCTCTCTGTGATGGGTGGACGGCGAAGGGTGAAGGGCCGTGGGAGGGGTACGGAGGGTGGAGAGATGGGTGGTGTGCGGTGGTAGCTTCCCTGTGGGTTGGAACGTGGGCAGCACTGCAGTCTAAGGCGTGATGGTGCGGCTGGTGGTAAGGGCAGGTGTGGTGATGGTGGGGGGTGTGGTGGGGTTGATGCTGTGAGTCCGGCCCATGCTGCTGTTGCTGCCTCTGCTGCTCATACCCATGCTGCTGCTGCTGCTGCTGCTGCTGCTGCTGTTGCCCTTGCTCCTGCTGCTCCTGCTCCTGCTGCGGCTGCTGCGCCTGCTCCTGCTGCCTCTGCTGCTGGGGGGTCCCCAGCTGCGGCAGCAATTCCATTCCATGCTGCATGAACCCATGCAGGACCGCATGTGGGCCCTCATACCCTGAAGCATGCGTGGGAGCAGGAGCATGCGCTGCTGAAGCATGCGCTGCTGAAGCATGCGTAGGAGCATGCATGGGGGCATGCATGGGAGCATGCATGGGAGCATGTGCGCCCTCATGCCCTGCAGCATGCGCGGAAGCATGCGCGGGAGCATGCACATTCTCTGAAACATCCATTGGAACATGTGCTGAGGCATGCATGGGTGTGGGAGCGTGCATCGGAGAATGTGAGGGAGCATGCATTGGGGCATGCATGGGAGCATGCATGGGAGCATGCATGGGAGCATGCATAGCGGCATGCGCAGCAGCATTAACAGGCGCGTCTAGAGGCACCTGCAATGCCGCATCCACATGCATTGCAGCACTCCCCTTCTGATTTGCCTCAACACTCGAGCTCGCGGGTCCGAGAGTTGCAACATTCACAGGCCTTTGAGCAGTAGCATCCGCAGGGGGGTGCACGGCAGCAGTGGCAGGGGCTTGTGTGGCAGCATTCGCAGGGAGTTGCGCTGCAGCTGTGTCAGGAGCGTGGGTTGCAGCAGCAGCGGCAGGGCCGTGAGCAGCAGCAGCAGCAGCAGCAGCAGCAGGGGCAGGGGCGTGCATAGCAGCAACAGCAGCAGCAGCAGGGGCAGGGGCGTGCATAGCAGTAGCAGCAGCAGCAGCAGCAGCAGTAGGGGCGGGGGCGTGCATAGCAGTAGCAGCAGCAGCAGCAGCAGCAGCAGCAGCAGCAGTAGGGGCAGGGGCGTGCATAGCAGTAGCAGCAGCAGCAGCAGCAGCAGCAGCAGCAGCAGGGGCAGGGGCGTACATGAGAATGAGGCTGCCAGAGTCCCCTTCGACGTCAAAGGGCAGCCCATCCTCCCCCACGACCAGCAGGTCCGTGAAGAGCGTGTTGCCCTTGTCATCGTTGTACTCCACTGCATACGCCATCACCGTGCCTCGCGTTAGCCCTGAGCTGCTGCCCACCTGCCAGGGGTTGCAGGGGATGGGGGAGATGGGGGAGTGGGGAAGGGCATCCTGTTGTGTTACTCCACTGCATACGCCATCCACCATGCTGCGCGTGTTGAACCCGAGCTGCTGCCCACCTGAAAGGGGTTAGAGGACGGGAGGGGGAGTGGGGATAAAATGGGAGGGAAGAGGAGGGAGACGGAGGGGAGCAGGGGGTTGGGTGGTGACAAGAGGAGGGAAAGGTGGAGAGAGGAGGGGGGGGGACATCAAAGGGCAGAGCATCCTCCCCCACGACTAGGACGAACGGGGGAGATGGGGGGAGAGAAGAGGAAGATGGGCGGAGACGAGTGGAAGGAGAAGGGCGACAAAGTGAGGAATGGGATTTCAGTCCTCCCTTCTAGCCTGCCTGTGCCATCACGCTTCCCCAAGTGAGACCTGAGCTGCTGTCCACCTGTGAGGAGACATGGGGGAAGCGGGGAGATAGATGGGGGGTTTATACTGCCATGCACACACACACCACCTTGCTCATAAACCCTAAACCCCTCCTCGGCTCCCACCTTGCACACGTGCTGCCCTGCCACTCTAAAATAGTCGTTTTATAGTCCGACCTCGTGCAGCTTACCACACCTAACAACCCATCCAACCCCCACAACCCCCTCACACACACACCTCCTCTTCCTGGGCCCCACACACACGTGCCACCCACCTTGCACACGTGCCACCCACCTTGTACAAATGCCACCCACCTTGCACACGTGCTGCCCTGCCACGCTGAAAATCTCGTCCTGCAATCTGATCTCGTGTGGCTTGCCAATCCGCCCGATCCCCTCCAGCCACGTGGTTAACAGACCCACGTCAAACTCCTCATGGAACGGAATAAACGCCCCATCTGCCCGAACAAAAGTTTCCGGGCTCTGCCCGGCAAACACGCCGTACCAGAGGTGGTCCGAGGCAAACGACGAGGCTCGGTCCACCGAGCCTAAGTACTTCCCCGGACCTAGCGAAGACGGCAGCGGGTGGAACATTTTCTGCTTCGGCTGGTCAAAGTCAACTGCCACGTGTCTGTTAGTCAGAAACCCTAATCCACGTGGCTCAGTCAGGCTCCTAACTATGGCTCCTAGAGTCCCATACATCTCCTCACTCGCAATTTGCGAGCCGGGGCCGATCCTAGAACCACTGCCTCTTAATCTCTCCACTAACTCGTTACTAATTAGCTGCGGCTGCTGTGTCGGCCCCCCTCCTGCCCCATGCCCACCATAATAAGAGAATTCGACTATATCCACGTCACACTCGTACCCGTCTGGTCCCTGCAGCTTGCTAGGAAGCATCTGGGAAGGCAGCAGCCACTGCTCATGAACCTTCCGAGGCACAAAAACAATGATTGCAGGCAGGTCCGTGAGAATCCCGTTCCTGGTCCGCAGCCCCAAGGCTGTGCCGAGGCTGAACCGCCGAAGCTGCTCGCTGTGGCAGGCTCGGATGAGCATGAGCTGCCCGATCCTGGTGGCGGCTCGGCGCGGAGGAGCGGGAGGGTACTGGGGCGAGAGAGGGGCGGTGGAGAGCGAAAGAGCGGTCAAATGGCAGTGCGCGTCCGCGTTTAAATCAGTAGTTAAAGGCGTATTCAGGTCTGGGTTCAGGCCCGGGTTGTCATCCTGCGCCTGGGTTGCAGCGGCTGGCTGCACCTCGAAGCCTCTAAGCCTCTTTTCCGTGTTACTCGGGGGCTCTTCGCTGTCCTCTCGTCTTCTCCTTGCTCCTCGTGCTTCTCCTCCTCCCCCCCTCTCCTCCCCTCCTCCCTCTCTCCTCTCTCCCCTTCCCTCCCTCTCCTCCTCTACTCCCTGACTCCTTTCCCGTCCAGATCTCCGCTCATTGGCTGATAGCTTTGAGTCATCCCCGTCAGTTGCATCAGCACCACGTGCAGAAGAAGCACCAATGGCCGGACTTTCAACAGATAGAGGGCAAGTATCAAACTCAAGCCTCTTATTTGGGGGTAATTCCTGCTCAGCTCCTGATCCAGCTTGTCCAGCCGCCGTACGCGTTACAGCAGGCTGCGTTTGCACACCCTCCGCTACAGGAACACCCAGCGGCACAACGCTTGTTCTGATAGGGGTATATCCACCACTCATGGGACCCATCCTTCCAATCCCTCGCATTTCATTGGCTGGATCAGCTGCTGCCGGCTGCGGCGCGTCATTGGTGGCCATGGGCGTTGCTGCAGCTGCTGACGTGTACTGCGATCCGGGTGACGTGAACGGCGCTGCTGCTGACGTGTACTGTTGGAAGTAGGCTTGACGGCTAACCGGCGATTCCCGGGGGGGCTGATCTGTTGGCCATCGGACGTAGCGAGGAGTCGGGGAAGGTTCGTGCTGCCCTGCGGATTCAAATGGTTGAAGGGTCGGTCGATTGCCGGACCTAACGTAGCGGATCGGAGGCTTCCGTTGGAATCCAAAGCCGAAGCTATTTCCTCGGAGAAACCCATACCTGGTAGGTCTGGTTCCCCAAGCATTACCGAACCTGCTGGAACCCGAACCTAGATCGGAGGCAGTGCTGAGCCGACTGGAGTTTTCCAAACCCAGGCTGGTCGAGGGTTTGTGAGTGCGTGTACTACCAGTGGTGAAGCTTATAGCGGAATGTTCGTCATTTTGCGACCAAGGAGCTGCTGAATGCAATTTTCCGGCAGACTCCCGGAAAAAAAAGCCCATGTTGCTGTCTCTAATGCAGAAGCCTGTCGGAAATGATGAATTAAAGCTGGAGTATCGCGAGCTAATGCCACTGCCGCAGCTGCTGCTGCTTGCAGCGTTACTACTATTGTCCAGGGAACCACCACCACCCGCCATATTTCACACGTCGCTTCAGAGAAGTGACGTTTCAGGGTGATGGTTGATCATCTGCTGGCAAGTGTGTGGCTGATGAGCGAGCGTAAAACAACCACAGAGACCACCAAAAAAGATAAGTTTGCATTTACTTGGGCAATCTCAAGGCTTTAGGGCTAAAGATCGACTATCCACCGCATTGAAACTTGTCATAACGATCCGTAGCCTTCAAAAACGCCTCCAACCCCTTCACGAGACCAATTCCTGGGCGTGGGTATGATCGAACCTGGTCTTCGGCTCGGACCTCGTTTTGTGAGTTCAGGTCGGACTGGTGAGTGGGGCCAGGCAGGCGAGAGCAGCAAATGAATCTGGGTATTTATCTTAGCGGTAACACTCATTGGGGTCGATCGCACGCGAGGTAAGCCACGCGTCCAAATCGTAACTAAAGTATCTTCCAATTGTCTCCATGGTAACCAACGTGCCAGTTTGGTCAACATGGTAATGAACAGTGCATTCCGAAATCCCAACTGGTAACTCGTCAGAACATCCGCGATGTACACCGTACGTACCCTGTATGACTCGGCAAAACTGAAAATGAGATGGATATAGGCTTCGCATTGTAACATATTTGTTATAATTTCACGTTTATAACTTGAACATGTGTAGATGAACAATAAATGCTATTATGTTTGTCAAATTGTTGTCTTGACTAGGGATTACGAAATTAAAATGGATCCTGAATACAGTGTCTACAGAAGTTATGTGCTAGTCTCTTATAAATATAACCAACATATATGCAAATCCAACATGTTACCTTATGTAGTATCGTTTTTTACCTACGTCATGAAATGGGATCCAGGATCCATTTTAATTTCGTAATCCCTAGTCAAGACAACAATTTGACAAACATAATAGCATTTATTGTTTTACTCTCATCTACACATGTTCAAGTTATAAACGTGAAATTATAACAAATATGTTACAATGCGAAGCCTATATCCATCTCATTTTCAGTTTTGCCGAGTCATACAGGGTACGTACGGTGTACATCGCGGATGTTCTGACGAGTTACCAGTTGGGATTTCGGAATGCACTGTTCATTACCATTCTGGAAATAATGTTGACCAAACTGGCACGTTGGTTACCATGGAGGCCATCGGAAGATACTTTAGTTACGATTTGGACACGTGGCTTACCTTGCGTGCGATTGACTCCATTGGGTGTTACCGCTAAGATAAATGCCCAATGAATCTTGGCGGAATCTGGCCGCAAAACAAGCATCCTCCAATGGACGTCGAGCTGACATCCCTCGACACCCCTCCATGTTCGAGGGAGCCACTTCGAACAAACTGTAGAATCTGTTCGGTGGGACAAAGGTCGGTGGTTCATAATTCGAACAATCCATTGTTGCACGCTCTCGAAATTTCGCAAACCATCTCGCTAGCGCTGGCAGCCAAATGTATTCATTCGCAAATGCAATCTTGCTCTTGTTCTTTCGCATACGTTGAGAGTGCTGTGCTGAGGCTTTGTCGACCGGAAATTTGCGACAATGTTTGCGACGCGCAATCTTTCCTCCACACAGTTCGGCATGCTTGTTTGAACAGTTCGGCATCCAGCAACTCCGGGAGGGATGACGTGTGATGTCGTTCGCGGAAGTGGAGATTATACAACGGTCGGCATCACCCGACCTCCGTTGAGGGGGGTGGCTTGTCCTTGCGGCTGTAAACGTTTTTGATAAAAGCCAAACTGCCCTCACTCGTCATTACCGGATATGATTTTCAAATAACCTTCTCATTTTCAGCTAATTAACTTTCATTTATTCTGCACTATTGCGATAGGAATTTGTTGATATATGAATCAAATGAGAATGCATTCCTGTACGCTATAGGAGCCAACTCTAGCGAGTACAAATACAAAGAGTGGAATGAAACAAAGCGACACCGGCATTGTGAAGAAATGAGGAATGAAGACGAGAAGGGATTGCACTAGCAGCAGTTGGCATACATATAGGAAACCCTAATTGGGTTGTACTCGCTATAGAGTACCACACTGCAGGCTAGACAATTATAACATTCTGACACACCCCCATAGCCAAAGTGGGGTGTAATCAGCAAAATGAGCAAGCAGGCATAGAGCAGGGGTTCACAATAGCGAGCAAAGCTAGAGTTAATCACAGCGGGCAAGTGAGGAGGAGGAGGAACTGTGGAGGGAGAGAAGATGGGAGGCAACGACTGAAGCTGCAGAGGCACGGGCACAGGAGCGGCTGACTCAGTGGTTACCGAAGCAAGGGCGACGGACTACTGGAGTAACTGGCTCCGCGGCTATAGACGAGCGGCAGGAGCAACGGACCCACTGGCGACTGGTGCAACAGGCTCACTGGCTACCGAAGTAAGGGCGACGGACTACAGGCGCTGCAGGCGACACGACAGCTACCTTCACACAACCTCCTCTAGCTGCCCCACACCCCTCGACACACACCCCTTGCTCAAACCCTAGTTCCACTCCCACAGCACCCCCATATCACACACCCCTTGCTGCACCCTAGGTTCACTCACACCCCACCCCCTAGCACCACTCCGTCGACTCCCACATACCCACCCCCCTCAGCGGCAGCTGCAACAGTGGGAGACAGAGGATGAGGAGGAGTAGGGGAGACCACACACCCGCCACCCCCTACTCGCCACCCCCATACCCTAACACAGGGCAGGGCAGGACGGCGGGTAGGGAGGTTATGAGGGGGGGGGGGAAGGGGGGGGGGGAAGGGGGGGGGGAGGGGCCGACGCGCGGCCTCCTAGGGCGCCAAAACAAGCGGCAGTAGGGGCGACGCTCGCACCCCCCCCCAGGTCGCCCCGACAGGCGACGGGAAAAGGGGGGGGGGGGGGGGCGGTGCACGGGCCCCCGGTGCGCCGCGACAGGCGACGTAGCATGGCCGGGGCGGGGCCGGGGCAGGGTCGAGGCAGGGCCGAAAGGGGCGGCGACGGGGCCGCAAGTGGCAGCGACGGGGCCGCTGGAGGCGACGACGGGGCCGATAGGGGCGGCGACGGGGCCGCTAGGGGCGGCGACGGGGCCGCTGGTGGCGGCGACGGGGCCGATAGGGGCGGCGACGGGGCCGCGAAGGGGCCGCGAGGGGCCTGAAAGGTCGGCGATGGGGCTGCTAGGGGCGGCGACGGGGCCGCGAAGGGGCCGCGAGGGGCCTGGAAGGGCGGCAACGGGGCCGCGAAGGGGCCTCGAGGGGCCGAGAAGGGCGGCGACGGGGCCGCTAGGGGTGGCGACGGGGCCGCTAAGGGTCGCGCGAGGGGCCGTGAGAGGGGCCTCTAGGAGGGGAAGAAAAAAAAAGTCGGTCGCACGCCACGAGGCGTGCAACATACAGAGTAGCAGCGGAAGCAGTTAGGTGGGCCCACAGGCCAGGAGCGTAGATGCTCTGATAGCATGTGAAGAAATGAGGAATGAAGAAGAGAAGGGATTGCACTAGCAGCAATTGGCATACATATAGGAAACCCTAATTGGGTTGTACTCGCTATAGAGTACCCCACTGCAGGCTAGACAATTATAACATTATGACAGGCATGCGTCAAATTTGTTACGGAAAAAAATGTGTAAATAATATGCACTCCTAAGAGTAGCAAGTAAAGCACGCAGTAAGGAGTATGCAGACGAAGAGGTAGATTGACGCGGAGGTTAGTGTACGGTTATGAAGGATCTGGACCATCGGAGCAGGCAGCATCGAGCAACTGCTGTATCGACGATTTTGTCGGTAACAGTTCGTCACCTTCTTGAGTCACGCATTTGGATTTCGCTGTAATAGGGGAATGTACCCGTAAGAGTATATGGCTAGCTAGGACGTTTGGTATTCCTCTTGTACTCTTATTTATATGAATGTAATCGCATGTTTTTATTATCCCAGTCATTTTAAATCCACTATGGTCTGGGGTTAATATATTTCGCTGCAATACTCTGTTATAGCGAACCTTCCTGAGGCGATCCTAGGCGCAATCAACCTTTTGATCGCAACATGGTATGAGAGCGACTCAGTAATTCCTCGCACGATCAAAGAGGTTCGCGCTATCCTAACGCCAACTCCGAAGGAATCCACGTGCTAAAGTCGATTGGAAGGCCCTCGGCGACGAAACATAACACTTGAGAGGACGCCATACTAGGCCCTAGGAGCGACCAGATGCAGAGGCGAATCGAGGGAAATATGACAGGCTAGGTAGGTCAGAGGAACTAGGCTAGGAGTGTTAGGCTGAACGAGGTACGAACCCTAAACTATGCGAAGACAGTCGACTGCGGCTGCCAACCGCTGCTAGGAACACATATGGCAGCATACTTGTCTTAGTTAGAAAGAGGGGAGAAGGGGGGGAAACCGGGAGACCTCGGAGGGGTAGCGAGCG